CCTAGCATTACTATACTTGTGGGGACCTAAATCTGTTTACACAGTCACGTGTGGGGACTCGCCTCCCTTAGGGGAATCATTAATTTTAGGGTGAAGACTTGGTTAGGGTTAAGGGTTAGGATAAGTCTCCAGGAAATGCATGTAAGTCCATGAAGGCTTCTCAATACTCTAATTTCCCCTCCTCGACTCCTCGGTCCTCCAGTAGTGACCCGGAAATGGATTTCAGCGCGCCATGTTGAAGGACATCTCATTTCTCTAAATGCACATCGAGGACCGAGGAGGCTCTCTGGAGGAGCTATGATCGAAGAGACACTGATGGGTCCTCCATGGATGCATTTCCGGGAACGGTGGAGGCGTGACACACGGCCGGACTTATCTCAGCCAATCACAGCTCTGCATGCATCCCCTGGATATTATTTTAGTAACTGCTGTAGTTGAGTAGATATCTACAAACAAAGAGTCAATATTTTTCTAAGACCATTTAGTGCTCTCATACTTGTTTGATTCTGAAATTGTATATATTTATATAAATGTCTGCATCTGTAGCCTGTTATTGTCTCATTATACCGCACTGTGAATGAATCAAAGTAAATATATAAGTGGTCAAGAACACATCTGTCCATCAGACAGAGGGCTGCTGTGCCTCCTGTCATCATTAATGGACGTCTCTTTAAAATGACCGCTAAGAGGAGAGGAGTTCTCATTTCTCTAACCGCCTGCTGCTTCCCCTCCTCTCTCCTCGGTTTCTCTCCTCGGTTCCCCTCCTCTCTCCTCGGTTTCTCTCCTCGGTTCCCCTCCTCTCTCCTCGGCTCCCCTCCTTGGCTCCTCTCTCCTCGGCTCCCCTCCTCGGCTCCTCCGCTCGCATCTCCTGTGGGCGGGACTAAGTCTCGAGGATAGGAGTCGAGGAGGGGAATTAGAGAAATTAGAAGCCTTTAATGTAATTTCCCCCTGAAGTGGTGTGTGTGTGTGGTGTGTGTGTGTGTGTGTGTGTGTGTGTGTGTGTGTGTGTGTGTGTGTGTGTGTGTGTGTGTGTGTGTGTGTGTGTGTGTGTGTGTGTGTGTGTGTGTGTTCCTTCAAGTCCATGTTCAGATAAGACGGTTTCATTTCTCATCCTATTTTTGTGTAAACTGACAATTAAGAGAATCATGATAATAGCCATTATAATAGTTATAATATTATATTTATAATTAATATTATTATCACTATTTCCATCATCATATAATCATATCAACTTTTTTTAATCTATTTGTAAATTAATCCAAAGACAAAATGATCAAATAAGGATAAAAAAAATTAAAAAAGACATAAGAAGATTACAAAAAAATATATTAAAAAAAAATATATATTTCACATCATACCAAATCTTTACCATTTTACACACGCAACGTCAAGTTTGAGAGAGAAAGGACGTCTGTTATCCTGTTAAACCCCACGGACCCGCCGAAGGGTCCGAAAATGCTACATCTGCTAGCACCAGTGTGATCTCTGAAGTGTCATTTATGAAACTATTAATGTTCCACACCCAGCTGACGGGAAGAAACTCAGCTAACTGACTATTCAAAAAAATAAAAATAAAAATAATAATAATAATTCCCACAAGAAGCCTTTCAATGAGCCCTTAGCAAATACGGACTAATGCTATTTCTGCTCATAACTCACAAAAATTATCATTTATAATTATACTTTCTGCACAAACAACACATCATCTGAAAGCTGAGATTCCACAGATTCCATGGGTATACACCCCATCACTGCAGGCAAGAATTCACTGAGCTCGCAGCCAGTATATAGCAAATAAACAACATCAGTTTTCAAATCCATGACAATAATTCTCAGGTTACATTTTACAATAATTTTTTTTTTTTTTTTTTTTTATGGAATGAATAACTATAGTGATGATTCAATGTTATAAAATGATTTTTACAGTCTGGTTCCATGAAAAAGGTCAAATGGCACTTTTTTCCCCTAAACCTCTCTAAAAAGGTCAATTTTCACTTGTTTTGCCTCAATCTTGATACAGGGTACTTATTATGTTATACTTTGGATTCCTAAAGCTTTTAGTCTACTAACCCATCATTCAAGGGTGGTTTTCACTATAAGTAATGGTTTTTTGTTAGGCGGAGGTAAGAATTTACACTTTTTTACTATGTTCCATCTGAATTCACTCTGACACAGAAACATCTATATTGATTCTCACACTTCTACATCCATCTCACAGATGTAACCTTGCTTTGAGAAAAAAGATTATTAATTTAACCCTTTTAGAAGTGAAGTTATAGTCATTTGTTCTGGGCATGTCATTTTCGAGCCTGAAACCTGAAAAATAAGCTTGGGGTCTAATGGCGCGTTTCCACTACACGGCCTCGCTCGGCCCCGCTCGGTATGGCTAGGCCTCGTTAGGACTGGCTCACTTTATTGCGCATTTCCATTACAGTTTAGGAACTGGGGTAGTATCTATAGTAACGCAGTGTAGGCGGAGCCGTGACGTCATCTTCAATGA